CTTGTGGTCCAACTTCAAACAATCCAGCCCTTGGAATATAAGCTGTATTTAACTCTAGTCTGCCCATTCTACACTTTGGAGGAGCCAGACGTTGCGGGGGAGTGTCCTTTATTGTCACACGAGCATCACATGCGTGCCCCGAGGAGGCGGGCCGCTCGCAACGCCGCATGGGGCCTTGGCCTGGCACGTGCTGTCACATGACATCATGCATTAGGTCATGGGCTTCGTGCATCGTCCATGTGACCTCACGTGCCCGAACTGCTAATTGTCGGGTATATGGAGCTATTGCAGGCCACCCCCCACAGCATGCTTCTTTGGGGGAGTATGATTGCGAGCCCCTGTCGTTAGGGGCGAGATCACCCCGCTGCTTTGACATGCCTGTCTGGACATCACATCAAGCATGATGGAGATCGACTTTAGCTACCCACCCACTACCCGGTGCTCGGCCAGGGTGGTGGGATGGAGTTTTGCGATAGTGCGACACTTGCAGCAGTCTGCTCGTGGTCAACTGACTAAATGGCACCGTGCCACGTGGGATATCTTGGGCATGCGCATTGGCTGCGCATACGTTTCCACCCTTGCACAATATGCGGGTGCGCCTGGGACTGGCTCCCTTCCGTTAACTACGTTTAACCTTCTGTTAAACTACATTCTGAGCTGAGGGTTGACCAACATCAGTATTGGACAGGAAGTCCTTATCACAACATCTAGTGCTGGGCATAGTGTAAATTGTCTGGCTTCCAAAGCTTACACAACACCATAATGCAGCAGCATTGTGATTGGCTAGTTGGACTACAAATCAGAAGTTTCTGGTCTCTAAATTGCATGCAATGACATACGTATGTTGCACAGACTCCCCTGGGGTTTGGGAAGGTGCCGGTCAAGGTAAGTCCCATTGTCACACTCCTCCAGCCCCTTCCCTCCTCCCTTTACCACCTCCCGTCCCTTTACCACTGTCCCTGTCAACGTCTTCCCTGGGACTCTCGCTACGAGCGAGAAAGTAACGCTCGTTTGCTATTAAAGCTGCACCGAATTTGAACGGTGTACACATTGCATATGTCTTAAACAGGTTGGCCTCGTCCATGGAAGAGCCTTGGGGGTAATTAAAAGAAGAGCTGCTGGTGATGTTTGCTGCCTCTTGCTTTACCTCGTACGTGTGAGACATGAGAGCTTGGGGGTATCCTGTGTTCAAACACTGCTCGCACCGAACTGGTACGAACTCTTTGGATCCAACCCAGTTTGGTTTGAACTCAAATCAACACTGAATTCGTTTGACTTGCAGTCTTGTACGTTGGTCGATCGGGGGATGGGGGCATTGGGGCACGTGACAACGATTGGAGATTCTTCAAAGATAGTGTGTGTTAGGCAATTCTGGACTGATTTTTTCCTTCAAGTCCGAGTATAAGGTAGCGTTTTCTTTTCGCAGCTCTATTGCTATAACTATACATAGCCATGTTAGACATTGCCTTATAGTTTGCCAAACACAAGGTTTTCACTTGTTATTCACTCTTCGCTCTCTGTCTGTCCCAGCACTCTTACACATGTCAGGTCAGTGGACCTGGTCTAACATCAGCCACAGTCAACCAACCAACACACGTCCTAGTCCAACTAACTGACTCTAGTGGTAGACCACACTCACTTCCACTGAATGTCACCGCACAACTTGAGCTCGTTTCAAAAGCCACACCCACTAGATCAAGGTGGCCTTGGTCGAAGAAACAGCCAGAGAAACAGATATTGGTTGCCATGACGTCTCCCTCCCAATACGAGGTGTCGTACACACCAGTCAGTCGAGGCCAACACAAACTCCATGTTCAAGTCAACGACAGGGAAATCAATGGCAGCCCCTTCACCGTGACCGTGTACCCTGACCCCAGACAACTAGGCCACCCAGTGAGTGTTTATACAAGCCTGAGTGGGCCCTACGGAATGACATTCAACAAAGACAACGACATAATTGTCACCGAAAGTAACGGTGATACATTGTCCATCATTGACGCCCAAAGAAGGAACGTCCGCAAATTCCACGGAGCGATTTTGGATTCACCGAAGGGCGTGGCTATTGACGGTGCCGGCAACATCTACGTAACCAGCAAAAACAAGCTTCAGAAAATTCTCCGGCACTGGGGCGCTGATTAAACGCATGGCAGACAGAACGGAAGAAGTGAAGGGGAATTGCAGACCCGCGTGCAGTGACGGTACACAACGATCAGCTGTACGTGTGCGACATTTACAACCACCGCATTCAAGTCTTTGACCTCGACTTGAACTTTGTCCGATCCATCGGCTCGCACGGAGAGGGACGCGAGGAGTTTGACGAGCCCAAGACGTCTGGTTCGACACGCGGGGAAACATGTACGTGGCAGAATGGGGGGAACGGAAGGATTCAAGTGTTGGACGGGAATTGCAAGTTCAAACATGAATTTGGTCGCGAAGGGAGTCGACCATCGGGTCTTACGATTGCTGACCGATACGTGTATGTGTCCGATCTCAGCGGTCACTACATCGCCATTTACGACACCTCGGGTCAGTTTGTCGCTGCGTTTGGAAGGGATGGTATCAAGGAGGGTGAGTTCCAGGGACTACGCGGTATCAATACATGCGTCGATGGATTTATACACGTATGTGACAGTGGCAACAGTCATTTTGAGATTTTTGTACAGAATACAGAATTTGATTTTTGTATAATTATACAGAAAATAGTATTTTGATTTCTGTACAGAATACAGTCGTTTTTTTATATTTGTACAGAATACTTTGCGATTAATTCTGCAATAACACACCAAGCAATATCTGTAACACCCATTCACACTTTCTGCACACTATTATTATAGAGCTCTATAATTATATCATCAGCTCACTGGACACTGTCCGCTAGATGCACACAAATTTTTGATACGCAACGACTCAACGATCAATCTTTTTGCTAATGGCAGAGGCGCGCTGGCAACCACCCCACTCTCCTGCGGCGCGGTTGAACGACCGGGTTGGACACGCATGCGCACAATGTTAGGGTGGGGTTCGTATTCTTACAATCACAAACATGGCTGAAGAGTTTCTCCGCGATCATCCAGGGCTGAGGCCCTTCGTTCTCTCCGACGTCCACCGCACTGGAACCGAAATCTGCGGTGGGGCTTACGGCAAAGTGGAGGAGGTTGTCGTTTCTGTTGGCGCCGCCGCCAAGACAATCTACGCCTTCTTGCGAGAAGCCAAAGCCTCGACCGAGTTCGTGAGGGAATGTCAACTTATGAGCACCCTCCGCCACCCGAACATCGTCCAGTTTCTGGGCGCGTCGCTTCTTTCCCGGCTCGCGACTGCCAGCCCTCGTCATGGAGCGACTGCTGACGAGTCTTCACGACTTGCTGGCTCCGGACACGCCCCCTCCGTCCGGCGCCGTCACACCGCTATCTTTCTTCTCCATGGCTCTCAAGTGCTCCGTACTGCACAACGTAGCGTGTGGCCTGGCATACCTCCACGAGCGATCATCGCCCGTCATCCATCGCGACTTGTCGGCCAGAAACGTTCTCCTGGACTCGGAGATGGTGGCCAAGATAGCGGACCTGGGCGTGGCTCGTATCGTTCCTCGTGTGAGAGCTGCAGCCACCATGACAAAGGGACCTGGGGCCTTAGTCTACATGCCTCCAGAGGTCTTTGCCGAAAAGTCGAAATACAATGCCAGTATCGATGTGTTCTCTCTTGGAGTGGTCACCATTTTCACAATCGGTGAAGTCTTCCCCTGTGATCCTCAAGAGCACAACTACTTTGACGAAAAGAGTGGAGTGCTGTTAGGTCGCACTGAGCTACAGCGACGCAGCCATTACATGCGAAACGTAAACGAGCAACTCCGTGCCTGTGGCCAGCTCCGTGGGGACCACCCTCTCATTCGGCTGATCCAGCAATGCCTGCACAATCTCCCAGCCAAGAGGCCAGGTATTCGTGAGGTGCTGCGTCTGTTGGAGGAGGCCAGAGCTGGTGTTAGAGATGAAGGGAGTGAGAGGAACAAACGTGAACTGGTACGAGCTCTTCAGACCCAGCCCAGGAACGGTGAGGGACTGTA